CTGTACTTTCTACTTCTTACATGTTGAACTCAAATACCTGTACTTTCTACTTCTTACATGTTGAACTCAAATACCTGTACTTTCTACTTCTTACATGTTGAACTCAAATACCTGTACTTTCTACTTCTCTCATTTTCCAAACAGGCTGGTTCCTTTAGTCTGAATGTGTGTTTGGTGGCGTGATCATTATTATTTAGAGTCATTACGTGCCTATTGATTTGAACACGATCCGTGTATCCATCATTTCCTGGTCTTCTCTAAAGAAGAGGGACCAATGAAAACGTTGTCATGTTGCCGTTGTTCAGCATGGAAACATTCATTAGCTAACAATGACATTATTGTTCTATTAATATAAAGGGAGGTCAGGTACTCTTTAAAACAGCTGCTAGTTATGGGTACTTTTTACTGAAGTACATTTCAAAGCCTCTTTACTTTGACTTGAGTAAAGAAGTTTAGTCAGTACTTCTACTTTCACCAGAGTATTTTTAAACATGAGTATCTGTACTTCTACTTGAGTAAAGGATGTGTGTACTTTTGCCATCTTTGTTGGAAACACAAATGCATAGAGTTCTTATCTACCTATTTCTTGTTTCCAGGCGGTGGATAATTCGAGCGTGGAGCTGCCGGCTACAGTCGAGGTCATCATGAACCGATGGATCCTTCAGATGGGATTCCCCGTCGTCACCATCGACACCCAGACGGGAAAAATGACCCAGAAGCACTTCCTGTTGGACCCCGAATCTGTAGTGGACCGACCCTCAGAGTTCAAGTAGGAACATTTGAGTTATACCTAATTTATGAATCAATAAGGGAAATGTATTCTGGTGTTATCTACAATACATCACCCACATAGGCCCAAAACACACGAGCAAAAACTGGACCTGCACTGAAAAAACTGAAGCGTTGGCTTTAATTAAATGTATTATTTCAACAAATACCACGTAATTGATTAGGTTAGTTGAAAGCAATAATGTAAAGTTGAACCTAATCTTTTTTATTCAAACTTAATAGTATTGCTTTCAATTAACCTAATACAGTTAGGAGAAATCTGTTGACATGAAACATTTAATTAAAGTCAAAAAACAATAATGAGGTATTTTTAAATTATAAGGCCACGTAAATTGATAGAGAATAAACAAAGACATACAGCTTTGTGTGATTGCTGACTTTCTAACACGATAATTCCCACATTTTATTTCTAAACTCAGGCTTTATTTCTCACTTCTTTAACATGATAGCGAGCTTTTTCAAATCACAAGAGGATATTCTTGATGATCCCAAGGTTAAATGTGTTTTTTTATCTTAATCCTTGATCAAATCTTGTAATGTAGTTACAACATGTAGCGTATGCCTGTTTATGCTGACATGATACTTTATGTATTTAACCATAACAATCTCATGCTCTCTATTATTCTCTACGCTGATTTTTTAAATGCACATTTTTCTTTTCTCTGGACGTAGTTACGAGTGGTTTGTCCCCGTCACCTGGATAAAGACTGGAGCAGCTGAACAGTCCTTCTGGCTTGTTAAAAAAGAAGGTAAGATTTATTTGCAAAGATGATTAACACAATACAAAAGATGCTTTATTTTCAGTCGTGGACATTTTTCAAATTCTTTTTTATTAATTTATCTAGTTCAATATTGATGAAGACATATTTTTTTTCAAGTAAGTTGAAGCCAGCCAAACATCTTGAAAGTGTTTTTTTTTATTACTTTGATTGAAATGGTTGATGATAAATCATATTTCAGAGATGGGATTCAGTCCATTCCCATTTCAACACCAATTACCAATTACACGGCTTAGTCTGCTCTGATTGGTTAGCTGGCCGGCTCTGTTGTGATTGGTCAACCGCTTAGAGATGTGCTTTTAAGTAAGATATCTGAGAACTTCTTGAAGGATGAAAGGGATATAAACATGTTAGAAAAGTGTCAAAATAGCTATAATTTCACGGGTAGAGGAATGTGAGCATTTGGTTTTTGGATATTTCCAAATATCTGGAACAAACTCCCAGAAACCTGCGGGTCCGCTGCAACTCTGACTACTTTTAAATCCAGGCTGAAGACTTTTCTTTTTGCTTTTAATTGAACTATTCACATCTCACACTGCACTGTAACTCTTATTCATGTACCTGTGTTAATGTTCCTAATGTGTTTTATGCTCTTAATGTCTTGCATTTAGGTAAAGCACTTTGAATTGCCTTGTGTTGAAAAGTGCCATATAAATAAACTTGCCTCTGATTATCTTCTAATATCCTTCCAGCTACGAACAGTAGCTTTGTCACCGGTGCAGATGAGTGGCTCGTGGCCAACATTGACATGAAGGGTTTCTACCGAGTGAACTACGACGATAAAAACTGGGAACGCCTCCTCGCCAAACTGAGCTCCAAACATGAGGTACATTCTCATAATCCGATGGAAAAGTATTGCATTTCTTCTGTGCTTTTTAAAAATGCCATTACAATCCCAAACACTCCATCCTTTGTTCACTTTCCAGGATATTCGAGTGATTAACCGAGCTCAAATCATCGATGACGCTTTTAATCTCGCAAGGTGAGGCCATATTTTTTAACAAAGGGCGTTTTAATTTTGTATACACATAGGCAACCCACTGTGCTCTGCAGATTACACAAGGAACAAACAGGGAAACAGGAAACAGAGTAAAACTATTCAAAAATGTAAAACAAAAAACAAATCATGAATTCAGTTCTAATAAAATATATTTATTTGCAGAATTTTAGCCTTTTTAAAACCAGGTTTTTACATAACGACACTGTTGCTTTCAATTAAAACAACAATTAAATGTTATATATGCATTAAATGTAGGCTTAAATTATGTTTTTATGATATTTAAAGTCTGGGATATGTAAATTATTAGCAACAACTTGTTTTTAATGCTTCTGAAAAATGCTATATATTAATGTATGTTTCACTTTCAATGAATTTAATTTCAGAATTTAAACTATTTTAATGCCAGGTTTTTACAAAATGACACTCTAACTTACTTTAAGAAAATAGCAATGGTAAACACCGAGGTCTTTAACTTGTCGTAAGTATCAGCTCTTCTTGCATTTTGTTCCAATAAGATAAAAGCTGAGAAATGATTTTGGGTGTTTTCAGAGCGAAGATAGTGGACACGACTCTGGCTCTGAGGACCACCACCTTCCTGGATAAAGAGGTGGAATATATGCCCTGGGAGACGTTCAGGAGAAACTTAAGCTACTACTTCCTGATGTTTGACCGCAGCGAAGTGTACGGACCCATGCAGGTCTGTGATGAACGGTCAACATGTGTAAAGCTCTTTCAATGAATTCATTCCTGTGCTTATCCCAGAAACCAAATGTGTTTGTAAGGGATTGGTTAATCGTGGGAAAATATAACTGGAATAAAAAACTGTCCGAATTTGGAAGTGGTTTTTCCATCCCAGGAAAACAAATGTGTTTATAAGGGAAGGCATTGGGAGGATATAGGCGCTTTCACACCGCAGTACTTTTCCCAGGAAACAAAGAGAAACTTAGTTCACGAGAACTCTTTAGCTCTCATGAACTAAGTACAGATCGCGTTCACACCGGAATAAGTCCCTGGGGGAGGATTAGGCAAATTAAGCCATGTTTTCTTTTGTGTTGCCATAAGTTAGTCTCTTTGCGTTTGTGCGCTGGGCTAATGCTAATAATGCTAATGCGAGGATAATAAAACGTCGGCTTCACGAAACTTTTTGGGAGTTTTACGGGGCGTGGTTTGCAATCCGCCAGCCAATCAGACATAGGAACCTTTTTCTCCCACGAAAAGGGGGTAAAAAGGTTCTCATGAACTAATTTTAGTTCCGGCTCTTTTTGGTGTGATCGCGACATTTCGGAACTATATCGGAACTAAAGTGGGAAAAGTACTGCGGTGTGAACGCGGCTTATAACTGGAAATATATGCAATGCTGATTAAATGTTTACCTTTTTCTGTATTCAAACATTAACGAAACTTGTCCAATTTCTTTCCTCAGGCTTACCTGAAGAAACAGGTTGAACCTCTATTCAAACACTTCAAAAATATCACTGGCAACTGGACAAAGATCCCAGAAATGCACACCGAACAGTAAGAATATTAACGTACCGAATGTTTAGTAGTGCATATATTCAAAAAGGTCTGAGTGCCAATGGGAAGAGATATTTTTCATGATATCTGTTTCCTCTCTTCCTCCCTCCCAGGTATAACCAGGTGAATGCGATCTCCATGGCCTGCAGCACAGGAGTGGACGGCTGCAAGGAGCTGACCAGCGGCTGGTTCACTGAGTGGATGAATAATCCAGCTGTCAACAAGTATGTCAACACATAATAGTTTATATTCCTCAGGGGAAGAAGGTAATAGAGTACATTAAATCAAGTAGTGTAAGCTACTCCACAACATTTTGGAAACATGTATATTGTACTTTTTACAACTCTACGTTTATTTATCCTAAACCTGGTAAACGCAATTTTATTTTAATTTTAAAAGGACATATTCTACTCATGTTCAGGTGTATATCAGTATGTAGTGTCTCTACTTTAAAGAGTCCTCTCCTGCTGATGTTCAGGTGTATATCAGTATGTAGTGTCTCTACTTTAAAGAGTCCTCTCCTGCTGATGTTCAGGTGTATATCAGTATGTAGTGTCTCTACTTTAAAGAGTCCTCTCCTGCTGATGTTCAGGTGTATATCAGTATGTAGTGTCTCTACTTTAAAGAGTCCTCTCCTGCTGATGTTCAGGTGTATATCAGTATGTAGTGTCTCTACTTTAAAGAGTCCTCTCCTGCTGATGTTCAGGTGTATATCAGTATGTAGTGTCTCTACTTTAAAGAGTCCTCAGCAGGAGAGGACTCTTTAAAGTAGAGACACTACATACTGATATACACCTNTGTCCCCATTTTTTTCGTGTCACACAGAACGATTTTAAAAGCAATGTATTTCTATTGGTAGTGTGTTTCGTGCCTGCACCACGTCTTTTTGTCCGCTCGGGTCTTGGAAGACCGGAAGCTGTGTGGTTCATAAAAACATTTTCTTACTCAATATCAAGTCACGATTTTAAATTTAATTTGAATTTGTATAATGTCGGACTTTTTTTGCCGTCAGTGAGGAAAATAAACGGCGCTCAGAGCCTCAGAATACTGAAATCTAATTTGTTATTATTTGGTGCAGGCACGAAACATACTGTTGTGTCTCGTCAGATTTGTACGTTTTTTTATCCTTGTTTATTTGAATTAGTATTATTTCTCGGTTAAGTTAATATTGTCAAGTCCGCGACTGCTAACCCTTTTGTTGTCTGGCATTTCCTGTTTGTCAGTTCCTGTTTTGCTTTGGCACTAATCTCCCCTCTCATTTCAGGTAGTTCGACTCCTACCCTTGTGTGTTCTTCACTGACCTGAGTACCTGCCCCCCCCGTATTGCTTGCACCTGTAGAGCCCCTGTGTGTGTATTTAATCTGTGGGTGTTTCTCAATGTCGAGTACGCTTGCTTGGTAGCACATGTACCTCCGAGTCAGTTGCTTCAGAAGCGAGGCAAGAATCCCTCCTCGCATTCGGAGAACGAAGAGTGGAACAGGCTAACAGGTGTGCAGGTGTGCGTTATATGAGAGGCCCCGCCTCTTACATTACAATGTCCACCAAAGATTTCGGAAATTGGTCCGTGCGCAAAGCATTGTGGGGATTTTAAGACCGCGGAGTCTACACTTGTGCAGCAACGAAATTTCTCGCAACGAAGTACGCCGGCCTCGGTAGAATTCCAAGTATGCTGAACATTGGAACAGTCCTTCAGCGGCACTCGATGAAGGAGCATCCTTGAAATAGTGGCTCTGGAGCAGCTTTACTCGACATTGAGTGTTTTTCTCTGTTTCAAGTGCCAGATCGTTTCGAGATTTAGAGTCGAGCCTTCCAGCGCTTGAGCCTTACAAATATTATTTGTGATTTGTCTGCCAGTTGATATCTGAGCTAGAGTAAGTTGTGTTAGTATTTAGTAAGTCATTTTTTGGAGTCCATGTTTATTATGAGTGTTTGTATTGCCCTGCAAACCACCTAAAGTAAAATCCTTTTTTGAACCGTCCTTTTTTGTCTGGAGTCGTGCATTTGGGTCCTATCATTTTCTTATGTGCCCCAGTCACACGTAACACATACTACCAATAGAAATACATTGCTTTTAAAATCGTTCTGTCAGAAAACTGCAATCGGTATAACCTTTTTTTCCTTCTAATTTGTTATTATTTACATTGCTTTTAAAAAATCGTTCTGTGTGACACAAAAAAAATGGGACAATCGTGTTGCTGAACACGATTCAATAGATTACATTTCGTGACGATAACACGAAATGCCGTGAGACTGGGTTGGTAATCCTGTTATTCCCTAAACTGGAGGTGCTGCTAATACTCATCATGCATTCAAAGCATCTTACAGGAATGGATATGCATGCTTCAG